AGATCACGCCTGCTAATCCGGTTGGAATAAGAGATATGAATGTGGCGGCTTTGAAAGATGGTACGGGGAAGAAGAGGCACTACTGGAGAATTAGCAGATTATTTAAAAAGGCTGATAGAGATAAAATTTTGAGTACCGATTAGCTTACAAGATCGGAGGGACGGATTCTGGTGGGTTGGGGAGAGGAATGGAATTTTCTCAGTTAAAAGTTGTTATAGAATTAGATGGGAGACTGCAACAGGGGGCATGGCAAGGCTGGGAATTGTTATGGGATCTGAAGGTCCACCGAAGTTCAAATATTTTGCATCGCAAGTTCTTGATGGAACGTTGCCCACGGTGGACAATTTGAAAAAGAGAGGAGTGAGTATTGTGGGGAGGTTGTAAGTTATGTGGCTCGATGGAGGAGAGCGATGATCATGCACTGCGTATATGTCCAAAGGTGGCGAATGTTTGGCAGCATTCCGGGGTGCAGACGGACGAGCAGCTGGTCTCGGTCGTGCAGTGGGTAAGGCAGAATATTGAGCTACCGGATAAAGCTTTTTGTGGGAGATTTGTTGCTATTTTGTGGAGTATTTGGAAAAGGAGGAACAGAGTGGTCTGGAAGGATCAAAATGAGGAGGCTTCCACCATCCTTAGGGTGGCGGACGGTATGCTGGCCGCTTGGCTAGATGTGCATGAAGGGACGGGAAATAAGGAGGAGAGGACGAGGGATGCTGATGAGGCGAAGTGGCAACGGCCAGAGGAAGGGGTCATAAAAATAAATGTTGACGGTGTTGTTAATCAACCGGGAGGCATTAGATCGAGCTTGGGGCTGGGTGGCTAGAGATGAGGGTGGTTCCTTTGTGAAAGCCCGCGGTTCCAAACGTAGAGCGGGGTGGTCGGCCAAGGAAACGGAAGACATGAGGATCCGTGATGCTATTATGAGAGCAAGCGAGGAGGGCTGGCAGTAGGTGGAGATAGAGACAGATGCACTCACGGTGGTGCAGAGCTTAAATAGGAACGAAGGATCTGCATATGCACACCTCATTATTGATGATATCCGTCATTTATTAGAAACAAAGAGTAATTTTAAAATCTCTTTCTGTAGAAGGTTTGCGAATCATGTGGCTCATGCTCTAGCTAAGGCACATGTGAATATCTCAGATCAGCCGATTGATTATAATGTTGTTCCGGATTGTATTACTAGCCATATGGCTAACGATTTACTGATTTAATAAAATGTTTTAGTTTGACGATAAAAAAAACTACGCTGGTTATATTATTTGAAGATCACTTTAAGCTTTCATTTATCTCACTTAAAAAAAAAACTAAATAAGACTAAAATAAGGCCAAAATCACAAATAGGATTATAGGAATAGTAGTTTTAAAATTGTCAAAGTAGGAGTATTTTTGCGATTGGACAAAAATGAAAAATGTCTCTGCCACCACATGCCACTGCCACCCTTGCCACCTGCCGGCTGACAGAGCTCCGCCAGTCGCCGGCCAGATTTCGGCCGCCTTGCGATAGCCGACCAGCGCTGCGGGAGCTCTGGCTGGGCAAAAAAATCAAGATTTTTTTCCCCAATCCGTCTACCGCCCCAGTCATCGCCGCCGGACTGTCCCAATTGCCCAATGGAACTAGGGGGAATTTAATTTATTATTAGGAGTGTTAAGGGTAGAAAATTATAGTTTAGTCCTTGTGGCCATTAAAAATATGGGAAAGTTCCCGAAATGGGACTAAAAAAGTTCAAAAATTCCAAAATAGGACTGTCATGTTTTTATTCCCAAAATAGGACTAATTACTGCCAAATTTGGAAAATACTGCCATGTTTGAATTCTGGTACTGCCAAAACAGGACAGTTATTAGTCCTATTTCGGGAATAAAAACATGGAAGTCCTATTTTGGAATTTTCAAACTTTTTTAGTCCCATTTTGGGTAATATCTCTAAAAATATTGGGCCAATTATAATTATTATCGAGTTCATTTCAAATGTTAACCGAGTTATTCTTGACGATATTGAAGTGCTAGTGAGCCACCGTCGGATTCTATTGGGCTGCTCATAATGGTTGTTGGGCCTTATCAAAAGAAAAAAATTAATATGGATCCGTTCGGATAAAATTTAATGATTGAATTAATTTGGGCCATTAAAATATCCAATTAATTTAATTGTAAATTAAGTCTTTAAAAGAACGGACCAGTCCTATTAATTTCTCTATTTTGAGCCTATTATCAAATAGCGGCTCAATATATAAGAGACATGACCCAATTGATAAAGAGAACAATGAATCTAGTTAAGAACTCTGTCTGTATGCATGGAAAATGGCTGTGAACCTTGTTAAAAAAGATGTCCAGATACATCGAACAAGTGCAGATTTTTCTAGCTAATAAAATGCAAGCAAATGGAGCACAAAGCCCATCTCCATTGGGGTCCAAGGGGTATGGACGAATTTTCTAACCCCTAAAGCATATTTTCACCCCTCCACATCTATAAATAGGGGTCTCAGTTGAGAGAAAGGGAGAGAACTTTCAGTCGAAGAAATGCTGTAGAAAAATTCTGAAGAACTCCCGAGAGGCTCTGAACGATTCCGAAGAAGAGGAAGAGATCAAGCCACAAATTTTATTAAGAATATACGATTAATCCTTTGTGATTTTGTTCATTCTTGATAAAATAAATCAAAAAGTTGAAGAACGTTCGAAGATCTGAAGAACGAAGCTCGAAGATTCGAAGATCTAAAAAATAATGCTTTGAAGATTCGAAGACTTGAAGAACGAAACTTTGAAGATTTGAAGATATTCATATGAAGTTTGAATTAAGATTCTAAAGATCAAGCCATATATCCCGGGAGGCCCTTAATCAGAAGATCAAGTCATAAAATGACCCTATCGTCGAAGATCAAGCCACTTAAAAACCGGAGGCCCTTCAACCTGAATTCTTTATTCAAGAAGATTTGCAGATCCGATGAACGAAAATTCGAAGATTCGAAGATCTCAAGAACGAAGACTCGAAGATCCGAAGAACGTTCAAAAGTTTGAATGATTAGATATTTAATTAAATTCTTTAATTATATTACTTCAAATTGCAAGTGAAGAATCAGAGGATTCATATTTAGAGATTGTAGTCTATACTTTCAATTATTATTTGCGATCAATTTAAATAAATACTTAAAATTTGTTTCACAGTACTATTTGTAAAAGATTTGGGTTTTAAACCTATTTGTACAATTATGTTTCCATTTAGTCCTATTTAGAGTGATTACTAAAAAAAAAAAAGAGTGAACAGATATAATCCTATATACTTCGTATAATTCAATAACGCTTAAACCAGAATTCAGCGAAGCACAAAACGGATTCCCATACATCCAATGTCTAGAAATTTTGAAGGACAATTTTGGGTGAAGTTTAATAGATAAGTCTAATTTCAGCTTATTTTGGAAAACGTTTTGATTAGGTACAGAGTTAAGTATGATTTCTAAATTTTTTTATGCAATTTGGGTTCAAAAAAAATTTTTATGCAATTTTGAGACTGTATAGTCGATAAACATGATCCATATAAATGTTAAAAAGATAAATATCTCCCTTCGTCCAAGTAGACTTGGCTAACTATCTTTTATTGTCTAAAAAAGACCGCCACTCTCCCGCTAACTATCTTTTGCTATTTTTTCTGTCCTCTACACAAAGCTTAACTTTTGTTTTTCTTATTCCATAGTACATATTTAATTCTTTACCTAAACAAAAATTGTGTTTACTATAAAGTATAAACCAACTTTAACGGCACAATTTTTGTTTTTCTTATTTCATACTCCGTACTACATATTTAATTCCAATATGGCAATGTCTAATTTTAGCCCTTGAGGTTTAACTGTAAACCAACTTTTATCTCACTTCACTTACCTAGTTCTTTATGTGTATTAAAGTACACTTGATTCTGTGTTATTTTTTTTGCTGCATTTTCCCCTTCATGTTAATTATTCGCCCTTCATATACTTCTAGCCTTCCAGGATACACAAACCCAAGCTTGTATTGTCCATATATAGTGGTTGTATTTTGCCATTATTGAGTCTTTTTAGACTCGAAAAAATATGAACATGCAAGTATGCAACACAATGCTGCATTTTCACTCTATGGGCATGGGGACAATGAAGAAGTTTGACAATTTTCTTATGTTTGGCCATTCTTTGATTTGCTTCTGGCATCTTCTCAGAATCTGTTATTCCTTTTGAGAACTTGTGACAGTGTGACATTGTTTTAATCAAGACTGGAGTGTTCATAAACTTCAAGATGGAGAATTTATTATTAAAGTATGAAGTCATATTTCCCCAACCAATATTCATTTGAGTTGTCTCTAGATATAGTATTCTATCACATCAAATTTCTTTGGATTTTGCTTTCTCATGTTTTTTTACATTAGTAAGGTTGTAACTTGTAAGGGTAACTAACCAGAGAAGTTGCAGCGGAGAAACTGATTAAATGAATATCCTATTTTCAATAAGTTTGCCAAAACAGAATAACAAACAAGTTTAGTGTGATAAATTTAGGTAAACTAAAATAAACTAATATGCAAGTACCAGTTATGACTTATAACAGTTGTACTTTGCCATGTACCTTGGACAAAAATGACTCTTTCTATGGGGTCAAGACTGAGGGGGTAACATATTTCCAATTATATAAGTGGACGCATTGTTGTGGTTAACATTGGGATTTGTTTTGTTTATTCATAGTAAAGCTAGTGTCTACTCTCCGAGTTCTTGTGATTAGTAAATGCCTATTTTATTATGTAGGTCTATCTGGCTGGGTGATGAGCATGTAAATAATCCTACCCTCCCAAAAGTGAAACTCCATACTGTAGTTTTTAGCTGATGGTATAAAATCTTCTATTGCCTATTCTGGCCCTGGTTGCTTATTCTAACGCATTCCGGGAATGTTCGGTGATGGGTACAGTGTGAGTTAGGGGAAATTTTAAAGCTTTGCTTGCTTGATACTTCCTTTCTTTTCTTAAAAATGAAGTTTCTTATTTGCACAGGGTCAATACCTACTTGATGTCTTAAAATGTCTATACGAATATGCAATTGCACAGGCCATACGAATATGCAATTGCACAGGCCAGTTCACAATTTTCTTCTATCTGAAGAAGGGACAGACTCTCCTATTATGCATTTTACCTATTTTAGTACACTATCTCTTAAAGGATATTTCAGTTGTGAGTTACCCAAGCAGAGGTGCCGGTAAGAATACGGCCTTTCCACCCCTGCAACACCCAATGGCCATCTTCAGCATACAGAAAGTCTTTGTGACCTGCTTCTTTCCCCTTTTCTCTTAACTCTTTCACAATTTGAGGATTTATAGGCAGAGGCTTGAACCCAGCCCTCATAGTGCGTCTTTGCCATTGCTTGTATGCTTCAGGCCTCTCTAACCTTTCCATGCCTTCGCATGCTACAATATTATTTATTGTAGGCCCCACAAAAGATTGTTCAAAATTCAACCTTTGACTATCCTGGGCAGGAAAAACAGCTTCAAGAATATCAAAGAGAGCAGAGTAGAAAAAGAGCGCCTCTCGAAATCGATTGACAAAAAAAGGAGAGCTATGAGATGCATTCAACACGGAATGCACAAATATTTGAGGGTTTATGTCCCGGATTAAGTTTAAAACGTTGTCCCTTGGGCAGTCCGCACCACATACTGTCTCGTCTAGTAGGCGTCTAAATCGATCAATACAGTTAACAGCAACTACTTCACCACTCGTGAGCTTCAAGTCACCAACCTTAATTGTCTCCCAATTAGTTTCTGATATGGCATTGTATTCGAATGGTACACCGAAACACTTGCAATATTTTGCCAAGCGACAACCAGTCTCGGCTAGCATTTGCGACGGGCGGAAACCAGGTTGGGGAAGCTCAATCCCTGTTATTCGAAGTTTTGGGGGGCCACCGGGTCTTTGTGAAAGATCTCGAATAAGAGTGGGCCACTGGATACCAAGAAGAATGCCAAAATCTATAATGTGGAGCGATGCACCTCTTGATGCCACTTCATAAATCATTTTATTCGCAAAGAAGATTACTATCCTCATAAATGGCATAGATGATGACAGGTAGGATTTTTGTAATTCGGAAATGGAGATCTTGTTGCGAAATGACGACGAAGGATAGAGTTGTGGCCAGGTTCCAGTTAGCCGTGCCTCAAGACCCTCAGCAAATGCATGTGCCAGCCTTTGGTTTGCGCTACCAGTAGGCGAAGAGTACTGCCTGATCAACTTTAATTGTTCTTGTGCATCCTTGTAATGAGCATCAGCAATAGATTGTGCGCAAATGATCAAAAGAGACTGGAGATCTACAATTTCACAACCGTCTCCTCGTTTATTTGAACGGCTCTTGCGACCACTTCGCCCTTTCGGTTGTTGTTTCGCTGCTCCAGATGGAGAATCATCATTATCATCGGTGCACAGCAAAACCTTATCAAACACTTCTGATAAGTCATCCTCCTCCTTATGAGTTGCACTCTGCTTGCTGCTCCTTTCCTCTTCTTCTAGCCCACTTTCACCTGGACGGTAATGCTTCCTTCCTCTAGACGAATCAGCTGAATGGTCCTCCTCCTCTATACTCACAACACCACCTCTGGTCAATGAGAATAGGCTATCGAAATGGATTAGCCTAGGATTACTGGCAGGAAAGGATGTACTAACTTCCTCCACACCTATCTGGAATATCAAAATAGACACAGTTTGAACATCAAACAATATGTTTGGAACTAATCAGCAGATTCAGCTCTAGCATTGCTATTGCTATATCAAGTAAGTATGGAGTAAGTTTATACTATATGTTTTCAACGAAAAAAGTTTTTACTATATACGAAGTATGGAACAATCTTTTACCATTTACCACAGGAGTGATGCGGAGTAATTTTTTCTGGAAAATATTGAAAAGAATGAGGAGTTTACTCTTATGATTTTTACTTGTTCTTTTATATTTAGGGAAAATGGAAATTAATGATCCAACTTTTTAGCGGTCTTCTTTCAATAATCCCACCTTTTGATTATTCATGAATAATCCAACCTTTGCACCTCATCTTCATTCATTGGTCCCTGGTCGGTTAATGACCTGCTATTCCAAGTTATTTTCTTATCTTTGTAAAATATTATATTTGTGAAAGATGAGATTTATGGTATAATGATTTGAAAGGATAAGAAAATAGCTTGGAATAGCAGGTCATCAACCGGTCGGGGACCAGTGAATGAAGATGAGGTGCAAAGGTTGGATTATTCATGAATAACCAAAAGGTTGGATTATTGTAAGAACACCGCTAAAAGGTTGGATTATTAGTTTCCATTTTCCCATTTTTTTATTCAGTAGTCTACAGTCTACAATGTTATAGACCCATAATTTTGTACAAAAAACCTTCCTTTTTGGACAAAACATTTGTTTATTTTGTATTCTGCATTTAGCAAAATAAACATATTGGACCCACCATCTAATAATGGAACAACGAATTAATGTTGTCCGTACAGCATTAATTAAAAGTAGGAGAGCCACTGCTGGGAGAAGAGCATGAGGCCATGGGGGGAAGAACAAGGGTGAAAATGTTAAGATTAGGGAAGTGCTCATCACAACAACAAAACAGGAAAATGTCAGAATAAGGTTTTGATTGTTTTACAGTACTTTTTAAAGGCGGGAGGGCATAAATTGTTCATAAAAACCAGGCTCTATATATGCATTAATTAAACCCCAAAAGGACTTACTTTTGGATGAGAGTCGAGCAACTGAAAAGGAATCATCGTAGCTCCCAATTCCCAAATTAAAGCTTGCCGAGTATAGTATGAAGATAAATGTAATATATCTGCAGGGATAAAGAACATAAAACCTTTAAGCAATAGAACAATCGGTGAATGCACTATGAGAGTTCTACTCAAACACTTGTGAGTTATGACTAATTTGCACCGTTTCCCAACCAGAAAATTGAATGCGTAGCTTGGAGTGAGAAATTGGATATGATTTCTTCTCAAAATAGTTGAGGGATGTGAAATTGGAGCAGAAGAAATGCAGTAAGTATTTGAAGTTGACGAATTCAAATGCTCTGCACCTCTGAAGTGAATGGCAGTTCTTCTCATTTAATGGCTCTTGGCGAGAGGAAGCTACTGGAACGCATTGTAGTCCCCATGTGAGCTGGCCCGATGCATGGGAGCGGATCGTGATATCAAATCTTTCAAGTGTGATGGCGTGGTTATTTATTATTTTTTCATTATGGCATGGAAAATATGTCATGTTTAAAGTTCCATGATGCTAAAATAATGGAGTAATTACCTCTTGGAAAATCGCTCTTGAAATGGTACCCCTCAACGGTCAAATTGCGGTAAATGTGATATTTTGAGGGTGACGTGTATAATGTGGGTGATGATCACATTTACATGCACAGGACAATTTAGATAAAATATATCGTATAGTCGGTTTTACCGCGCGCACGGTACATTCGGTCTTTTAGTTCGCAGATTGATCGCTAGTTTCCATCACAGATCGCCATTTGCACTTCGATCCTTCGCAGGCCGGATGCTCTTTGCTCGCCTGAACGCAATCTGCGACTGAATGCAACATCTCAGACTGTGGACTCATGCTTGCATAGACGGCGGCTCTGGCAGATGCATAGGGCTAGTTGGACTCTTTCTTTTTTTTGCACTATTTTCTTTTTTCTCTTTTTCTTATACAGGTTTGGTGAGTTTGGTCACTTGTTGGCCGTAGGTTGGGAGAAATCGAAGTTGTATGTAGTTTTACAGTTATGAGCATACACTAAAAAAATTGAGCATAGCAGACATTTTAAATGAGTCTTTTGATTTTTTTTCAATGCTCATTTCGTAATTTATGTATGCTCATTTGATATGGATGCGATACTCATTTTAAAATGTCATATCCATGCACATTGATCTCAAATGAGTTTTATATTAAACTCAAATGAGTATAACGTCCAAAATGAATGAACACATACGATGAGTTTTTAATTTTGATATTTATTTTGTAAGTTGTGTATACGCATTTCGTGTTACTTTATGCTCATTTTAAAAGGTTGTACATTTCAAACATATCATACTACAATAGATTCACATATTGAAATTAATTGAAATGTATTATAGGCATAATTTAATACTTTTTAATAAACGAAAAAATAATAAACAGAAAGTGATAAGTGAAGAGTGAAGCAGGGATCACTGATGCTCAAAAGAAGAGGTTTAATGTTATCAAAATTGCATCAATGCTCATTTAAGAGAATCTGTTGTTTTCACCAAAATTACAAGTTTGTCACCAGCTGTACGGCTGGCAGCGTACAGACGGTTGATATACGCTTCCGACAATTGAAAAGAGACATTTACACACTTGACAACACCGAGACTGCATTTCAATATCTTATTTTAGAATTCATGAACTTTTTAATCCTATTTATGAAAATTCCCTTATTTAATGTTAGGCAACAAATTCAGTAAACATCAAAAGAATTAATGTTAAAAATATTTTTCTCATTGAATTTGATGAAGAAAACCATTCCAGTTATTTTTCATATAAATTTTCTCCACTGTATTTTCTCCACGAAGTATATTGTGAACGTTCACCTTCACCTTCCCCTGTTTCGATCTGCTCCAAGAAGCCGCAAACTGCTGCCCCATATGTCTCTTCCCTTTAGTTTCCGAGCTGCCTGAACTTGAGTCCAGTAACGCCTTGGCACGGTGGACAACCTACGGGCTACGACACCCCTTGCCAAACTTGATGATTCCTATACAGCCCAGTAACTTTTTCCTTTTTTTTCATCCTGCTGCTGGCTTCCTCTCTTTTACATCACTGATTCCCCTTTGGCTCTTGACTTGGTATATGCTACAACTTCAAAGTTGGGAAATTCTCTGGGTTCTGATTATCGTTCCCCTTTCCTTCAGTGGCTATTGAGTTATCGCTGCCTGATAACAATCGGGCAGTTTTGTTTTTCATTTTCTCCAATTATCACTAGGATATACTCTGTATATGCTCTCAACATTTAAGTATCAGTTCTGAAAATGGTCAAACGTCTATCCAAACTTGCAACCTGTTCATTGTTGATGTATGAACTCTCTAATCTTATTATATTCTTCAAATAACCGAATGGGCTTAGCTATAAAAAAAGGGAAAACTATCAAATAGGTCCTCGAACTTTCATAAAAAAGTCAATTAAGTCATTCTATAGGAGACTTTGTCCGGTCGTCGCGATTTCGGACGGTTCCCGGTGGATTTTTTTGATGAAATTTTTTTAGCATCTTATTCATCAAGCCTAGTTTACTCATACCAAATTTTAGATAAAAATTTAATCGGGAGCGCATTCAAATTAATTCGAGAACGCAAAAATGCGCAGTTATCTTCAAGAATTAATTTGAATGCGTTCCCAATTGCATTTTTAGCTGAAATTTGGTATGAGTAAACTAGACTTGGTGAATACGATGCTCAAAAAATTTCATCAAAAAATTCCACCGGGAACTTCCCCAAATCGCGACGGCCGGACAAAACCTCCTATAGAAGGACTTAATTGACCTTTTTATGAAAGTTCGATGACCTATTTGACAGTTTTCCCATAAAAAAATGTTTAAGTTGCACAGAGTACTATTTATGCTCTTTCTATAAGACTCTTTTGACTTTTTCATTTTAAACGTGCAACCACTTTTAGCATTTGTTGCAGCACCACGGAATTATCCGTCCGTCAGCAACTCCATCGGTAAATTTCCTACACTTTATTTTTCCTTCAGTAAAATACAACAAATTGTTTTTTTTCTAACTTCTCACCGCGAATTGAATTTTTTTCGGTATATTCGTTGGTAATTAAGCTCTTTAATAGCCTATGAAAAATAATCCGTCGGTAAATGATATATTGTCTTGTAGTGATATAGTTCTAGCCTTCTAGGATACACAAAACCGAGCTGGTATTGTTCATATGGGCATGGGGACAATGAAGAAGTTTGACATTTTTCTCATGTTTGGCCATTCTTTGATTTGCTAAGGCATATTCTCAGAATCTGTTATTCCTTTTGAGAACTTGTTACAGTGTGACATTCTTTTGTAGGATAATGGTGCAGATCTAAATTATCTAATCAAGATTGGGGTGTTCATAAACTTCAAGATGGAGAATTTATTATTCAAGTATGAAGTCATATTTCCTCAACCAATATTCATTTGAGTTGTCTCTAGATATAGTATTCTATCACATCAAATTTCTTCGGATTTTGCTTTCTCATGTTCTTTTACATGCATCAGTAAGGGTAACTAACTAGAAAAGTTGCGGCAGAGAAATTGATTAAATGAATATCCTATTTTCAATAAGTTTGCCAACACAGAATAACAAACAAGTTTAGTGTGATAAATTTAGGTAAATTAAAATAGTCTAAAATGCAAGTACCAGTTATGACTTATAACAGTTGTCCTTTGCCATGTACCTTGGTCAAAAAATGACTCATTCTATGGGGTTAAGACTGCTTGAGCGGGTAATATATTTCCGATTACACAAGTGGAAGCATTGTCGTTATTAACATTGGGATTTGTTTTGTTTATTCATAGTAAAGCTAGTATCTAGTCTCCGAGTACTTGGGATTAGTAATTCCCTATCATATTATGTTGGTCTATCTGGCCAGGTGATGAGCATGTATATAGTCCTACACTCCCAAAAGTGATATTTTTTAGCTGATGGTATAAAATCTTATATTGCTTATTCTAGACCTGGTGTATCCTTTCATTACCTATGCCTCTAATGCTATTGTGTTTCCATTCATGTTATAATTATCAACAGGGCAAACCGTTTTATGCCCACTGCGATTTGCTTGCTTCTTCTGACGCATTTCAGTAATGTTAGGTGCTGGTAACAAGGTGAGTTAGATTAGGAAATTTTAAATTTTGCTTGCTTGATACTTCCTTTCATTTCTTAAAACTGATGTTTCTTATTTGCACAGGGTCAGTTAATGTTAATGTGGAGATTTCAAACACCTTCTAAGAGCAACTGATCAATATCTACTAGATGTCTTCAAATGTCTATGCGATTATGCAATTGCACAGGCCAGTTCATAATTTTCTTCTATCTGAAGAAGGAACAGACTCTCCTGTTATGCATTTTACCTATTTTAGTACACAATCTCTTAAAAGATATTTCAGTTGTGAGTTACCCAAGCCGAGGTGCTGCTAAGAATACGGCCTTTCCACCCCTGCAACACCCAATGGCCATCTTCAGCATACAGAAATTCTTTGTGACCCGCTTCTTTCGCCTTGTCTCTTAACTCTTTCACAATTTGAGGATTTATAGGCAGAGGTTTGAACCCAGCCCTCATAGTGCGTCTGTGCCATTGCTTGAATGCTTCAGGCCTCTCTAACCTTTCCATGCCCTCACATGCTACAATATTTGTTATTCCAGGCCCCAGAAAAGCTTGTTCGAAATTCAACCTTTGACTATCCTGGGGTGAGAATATAGCTTCAAACATATCAAAGAGTGTAGAGTAGAAGAAAAGTGCCTCTCGAAATCGATTGACAAAGAAAGGAGAGCTGTGAGATGCATTAAGCACGGAATGCACAAATATTTGAGGGTTTATGTCCCGGATTAAGTTCAAAACGCTGTCCCTTGGACAGTCCGCACCACATACTGTCTCGTCTAGTAGGCGTCTAAATCGATCAATTGAGTTAACAGCAACCACTTCACCACTCGCGAGCTTCAAGTCACCAACCTTAATTGTCTCCCAATTCGTTACTGTTATGGCATTGTATTCAAATGGTACACCGAAGCACTTGCAATATTTAGCCAAGCGACAACCAGTCTCGACTAGCATTTGCGATGGGCGAAAACCAGGTTGGGGAAGCTCAATCCCTGTTATTCGAAGTTTTGGAGGGCCACCGGGTCTCTGTGAAAGATCCCGAATAAGAGTGGGCCATTGGATACCAAGAAGAATGCCAAAATCTATAATGTGGAGGGATGCACCTCTTGATGCTACTTCGTAAATCATTTTATTCGCAAAGAAGATTACTATCCTCATAAATGGCATAGATGATGACAGGTAGGATTTTTGTAATTCGGAAATTGAGATCTTATTGCGAAATGACGACGAAGAGTAGAATTGTGGTGAGGTTCCAGTTAGCCGTGCCTCAAGACCGTCGGCAAATGCATGTGCCAGCCTTTGGTTTGCGCTACCAGTAGGCGAAGAGTACTGCCTGATCAACTTTAAGTGTTCTTCTGCATCCCTGTACTGAGCATCAGCAATAGATTTTGCGCAAATGATCAAAAGAGACTGGAGATCTACAATTTCACAACCGTCTCCTCGTTTATTTGAACGGCTCTTGCGAACACTTCGCCTTATCTGTTGTTGTTTCGCTGCTCCAGATGGAGAATCATCATTATCATCGGTGCACAACAAAACCTTATCAAACACTTCTGATAAGTCATCCTCCTCCTTATGAGCTGCACTCTGCTTGCTGCTCCTTCCCTCTTCTTCTAACCCACTTTCACCTGGACGGTAATGCTTCCTTCCTCTACATGAATCAGCTGAATGGTCCTCCTTCTCTATACTCACAACACCACCTCTAGTCAATGAGTATAGATCATCGAAATGGATTAGCCTCGGATTACTGGCAGGAAAGGATGTTCTAGCTTCCTCCACACCTGTCTAGAATATCAAAATAGAAGAAGTTTGATCATCCAACAATATATGGGGAACCAATCAGCACTAGCAATGCTATATCAAGAACCGCTTAACCCATAACATACAAGTATATACAGAGTAAGTTTTTACTATATATAGAATAATCTTTAACCATATACAACAGGAGTGCGGAGTAATTTTTTCTGGAAATTATTGACAAGAATGGGAGGTTTACTCCTATGATTTTTACTAGTTCTTTTATCTTTTATTCAGCACTCTACACTGTTATAGAGCCTTACGTAGTTACGTTTGTACAAAAAAGCTTCCTTTTTTGACAAAAATATTTTGTTTATTTGGTATTCCTCATTTTGCAAAAGAAACATATCGGACCCACCATCTAATGATGGAACAGCGAATTAATATTGATAGTACAGCATTAATTAAATGCTGGGAGAAGAGCATGTGGAGGGAAGTACAAGAGTAAAAAGTGAGAATTATGCTGTAGGTTTTTAATTTGATTAGGGAAATGTTTATCACAACAACAAAAAAGGAAAATGTTAGAACAAGGTTTTGATTGTTTTACAGTAGTTGTTAAAGACTGGAAGGTATAAATTGTTCATAAAAGCTAGGCTCGATAGATGCATTAATTAAACACCAAAAAGACTACCTTTGGATGAGAGTCCAGCAACTCAAAAGGAATCATCCGAGCTCCCAAATTAAAGCTTGCTGAGTATTGTATTAAGATAAATACAATATATCTGAATGAAAGGAAGCCCAAATCAGGATAAACAACTTACATAAAAGTTTGAACAAAATCCACTTTCCTCCATCAAACCAATTCCTCAATTAGTTTATGTCTTTCACTATGACTAGTTTTGGTATATGACTATTGTTCTTAGCCTATATATGGTTTTTCCGTCAATATTTTGATGTCAAAGAGGCGTCAGAAAATTGAAGGAAGAATCACAAATGCTCAAAAGAAACAACAACATCCAATCCAAGCCTGAATTCCTAAAGAATTTGGGGTCGGCTAATACCAGTGCTAAAACTCTAAAACTTTGAGCAAATTAATCAATAGAACAATCGTTGAATGCACTGTGAGAGTTCTACCCAAACACTTTAATTAACTTTGCACCTTTTCCCAACCAGAAAATTGAACGCGTACCTTAGAGTGAGAAATTGGATATGATTTCTTCTCAAATAGTTGAGGGTTGTGAAATTGGAGCAGAACAAATGCAGTAAGTATTTGAAGTTGAAGAATTCAAATGCTCTGCGACTCTGAAGTTAATGGCAGTTCTTCTCATTTAATGGCTCTTGGCGAGGGGAAGTTACTGGAACGCATGTAGTCCCCATGTGAGCTGGCCGGATGCATGGGAGGGAATGAGGGATCCCGATTTGATTTTTCAAGTGTGATGGTGTAGTTATTTATTACTGTACAAAAATGATGATTGTATCCGATCCACCCTTATACCCACTTTTGTATCCACATATGTTTATGAAGTGTGTTTTTTTCTGTGAACCCCGGCTCACAGACAATATTTTGCACAAACAAAATATTGTCTATGAACCGGGTTCACAGAAGAAAAAAAAACTCCACAAACATGGTGGGTATAAGGTGGGTATAAGAGTGAGTACATCAAGCATTGTTGTATTTATTATCTTTTCATTATCTACGGTAAAACTTGGGAAATATGTCATATTTAGAACCCGTTTGGTAGCACGAAAATCGGTTGATTTGGTTGTATCTGCTGAAATTTATGAAGTTCTGGTTGAACTGGTTGCATCGGCTGATTCTGCTGATTTAAGAAAAAATTATTTTTAAAATATATTTTATTAATAAAATAAAGAAAAAATTATATGTAAAAATAGCTAAAATGGTCATCTACAGTAAATTCAGCCAATACAGCCAGAAAAGTAACTCCAACCTTACTTTTTCTGCTTATTACACATTTCAGCACATGAAAGCAAAAGTTATGTGTTTAGTGAAAAAGTTGGCTGATAAGTCTGATAAGCTGAAAAACAGTGTTGCCAAACGGCCTCTTAAAGTTTGATGATGTTAAAACAATGGAGTAAATACCTCTTGGAAATCCCACTTGAAATGGATCCTCAATGGTCAAATTGTGGTAAATAACTTAGGTTGTACAAATGAAAATGACTTATGTAAACTCTTAGCCAACACCTTCATAATTGTGGCAACCGTCCCCATGAATTCGTGATATATAAATTTCTAAGGGAAAAGGTGCAAATACGCCCATGTACTAACCAAAAAGGGTCAAATAAGCCCTTATTTAGGAGGCTCTGTCCGGCCGTCGCCATTTGGGGTGGTTCCCGGTGGAATTTTTTGATGAAATTTTTTGAGCATCTTATTCATTAAGTCTAGTTTACTCATACAAAATTTCAGCTAAAACTTCAATCGGGAAGGCATTCAAATGAATTCTTGAAAATAACTGTACACTTAGAAACGCAGTTATCTTCAAGAATTCATTTGAATGCCTTCCCGATTAAAGTTTTAGTTGAAATTTGATATGAGTAAACTAGACTTGATGAATAAGATGCTCAAAAATTTTCATCAAAAAATTCCATCGGGAACCACCCCAAATGACGACGGTCGGACATAACCTCCTAAATGAGGGCTTATTTGACCTTTTTTGGTTAGTATATGGGCCTATTTGCACCTTTAGTAAAGGGGTTAAATAAGTTATTCTACTATTTTTATTCCATCTTTTAATCCTCTCTCCAAAAAAAATCTATATAAGTACGCTTAGTTTAAAAAATTGATCAATTTGGTCATTTATTCAGCTTTTGACCTATTATAGCCGGGGGTTTATATTAAAAACATCAAAAAACTTTAAAATAGAATAAATATAGATAAAAATTGTGAAATTTTTGACATGTCCAATTCAATATTTTTAAAAATTTGAAATTATTTGTATATACTACATATATTTAAAAGGTTTTTTACATTTAATATTTTATGTTTTTTACATTTTCACATTATTTTTTTCAGTTTTCAGATTTTTTTTATTTTAACATTTTTAATTATATATCCATTTTTACATTTATAATATTTTTTATATTATTATTTTATTATTATTCAAATTTATATGAATTTTTATAAGATTTAGCAATAGTCTTAATTTATTTTTTAAAAAAATAAACTGCTACAGCGGGGCAAAATGGTTAATCGCATCTAAAAAGTAAGCGTATTTATATAATGCTTATTTTAGTAGGACTTATGCGATGGATTGGAAATAATAGAAGAACTTATTCGACCTTTTTCCTTATAAATTTTATACATTTGTATCTTAGAATTTAAAATGTGTGCCAAACTCTCTTGACTTATAATTACCCAAGCACACAATCCTCTTCAATAAAAAATTTAATTGCCGAATAAAAGAGTACTGGTTAATTCTTCTGTAAATATAATTTAGAGATCTTGACAATTTACTTGCATCCGTGCATACTCTATCATGGGTTTATGTAATACTAAGTATTTTCTTCTACATTTACTAATGACAACAAAATCATACAAATAAAACCACAATTTCTAGAAGTTGTAATCTTAACTCAAAATGACCTAAAACATTAATTCAACATGGGAAAACACATTTGTGATTAGCAAATACATACACGAGATTCTAAGATCCCATTTGGTGATCCTGTTTTTGGTTTATCAGGCATTTTAGTTAACTTTTTCACCAAACACATAATTTTTTATTTCACGCACTTCATTGTGAAATAATAAGATAAAGTATTATTTAAGTTACTTTTATGGTTGTATTAGCTGAAGTTACCTTAGAAGATCATTTTAGGACTTTTTGATATAATTTTTTCATTATTCTATTAATAAAACATATTTTAAATATAAATTTTCTAAAATAAGCAAAATCAGCCAATCTAGCCATTTCGACCAAAACTTCATAAATTTCAGTAGAATCAGCTAATACAGTTGTTTTGGTCTTATCAAACGGACTCTAAATTATACTATGAATTGAAAAAAGGTTTCATATTGACAAAAAATACTCACGTAAATAAATTTACAAATTACAAACACCAAGAGAGCTTTAGATAAAATTTATCTTTTGCAATTAAATATAAACATACAATAAAATCGCAAGTCATGAGCTTCATGATTTAAAAAATTACATTTTTAAGTTTATAACTTTCTTATACAACATTTTCCAAAAGAAAGCTTTCTTATACAATGTAAGCTGATTTAGTATACATATGCATGGTCACCATATTTTTATGCTTATTAGCAAGAAAAAACATGAGGCGATGATAATATTGAAACTTAGGGATTGTTTGCAAAAATTAAAAAAAAATGATTTTCAAGTTTTGGGTTTAAAATCACTTTTCACTTTTTCTATTTTTCACTTTTTCTAGTATGCAAAAACAATTTTTTCTCAATCACTATGAACTTTTATCTTTTCAAAACCATTTTTTTCAAACACCACACATTTTTATTACTAAGTGGTAAACACTTTTTCAAAAATTTCTTAAAAAATCATTTTCAAAGTAGAAGGCTAGAGACAATTAAAAACACTTTATGGCCTCATGGAAATTAGACATATGAATTTAGTTATCTTGGCATTACATGTCCAATTAAACAATTCATCAACCAAAAATATAAACTAAGTGGGCTAAATTTATACTCTGTACTATACGATGTACTACTTAGAGATTGAGAGGATGTTTGACAACACTGTTTTTCGGCTTATTAGGCTTATCAACCAACTTTTTCACCAAACACATATCTTTTGTTTTCCCGCACTGAATTGTGTAATAAGCAGAAAAAGTAAGATTGCAGTTCTTTTTCTGGTTGTATTAGATGAAGTTGTTGTAGGCAACTAAATGTGTTTTTTATTTAAGGATTATTAATGATTAATAATGTCTAAGAATGAGAAGACTATTGTCTATAAGGAAAAGAAACATAATATACAAATTTAAGAATAAATTGTGTATGATTATGTGTTATGAGCATGTTGGCTTGATAAAGGAATTAACTATAAACTATATGTTGAAATATAATTTTTACTTCATATAAGAGTATATGAGTGATTAAAAGTTATATTTTGTATATTGATGTGAACTATATTTTCAATGGAAAATTAGTTGGAATTTGTCTATATGACTATGAATTGAAAATTGATTTTGTTGGAAGTTATCCGACTAGTATTAAGATACGAGTAAAGGGTCAGTTTGGTCCTCGAAGTTGCAAAAAATGCGTCAAATAAGTCCTTATATAGAAGATTCTGTCCGGACGTGCCATTTGAGGTGGCTCCCGGTGGAATTTTGTGATAAATTTTTTTTGAGCATCTTATTCATTAAGTCTAGTTTACTCATACCAAATTTCAGCTAAAAATTCAATCGGGAAGACATTCAAATGAATTCTTGAAGATAACAGCGCTTTTAACGGCATAGTTGTCTTCAAGAATTCATTTGAATGTCTTCCCGATTGAATTTTTATCTGAAATTTGGTATGAGTAAACTAGACTTAATGAATAAGATGCTCAAAAAATTTCATCAAAAAATTCCACCGGGAGCCACCTCAAATGGCACGTCCGGACAAAATATTCTATATAAGGACTTATTTGACACCTTTTTTGCAACTTCGAGGACCAAACTGACCTTTATCCCATTAAAATACTAGTCGGGGTATTGGAATGAGAATATGTTAGAATTGATCCAAGGTTTGGATTGTGAAATATTGAGCCTTAAGTAGTCCTAAGAGATACTAAAGTGGATAATGTTGGTCCCAGTTTATGCAGACTAACGATCAACTAGATGGTATTCAACGATTAAACAGAAGAAAAGAAGATCTGATAATGATAAGGCAATATCGAGAACAGAGAAATTCTTCTTCTAGTTTATCGAGAACTATTTGGGCAGCGTAAGGCTAAAAAATGTATTGATCGATATCGGTACCTGTACACAAGGCGCATATTTATAGGCGCTGTACAGGTTACCGATTTAGGTAAACCTTGGAAGTTGGGCCAAGGCCTTTTTGGGCCTTATTCCCTTTACCTTATTTATTACATAATAATTACTAATCTACTACCATAAATGGTATAACTAGTCTACTTTATTAAACAAGACTTATCAGACAAACTTGACCCACAATAAAAGTTCTAACAATCTCCCCCTTTGTGGTCAAGTGCCGTCTTGCTGGGTTTCTTCACTTCTGAGCTTTGTAATAGTTCTTTCTGAGGTTTAGCGCGTGCTCATAGCTCCTTAGTGAATTTCTTCTTTCAAGTTGTGTCTTGATGGCTTTTAGGATATCTTCTGTTCTTTCCAGCTCCCTGAGTTCATCCTTTGTAGCTTCTGTTGACTTCTTGACAAGTTCTTCCCTTCTTGATTGCAGCTTATTTCTGATGATCTTTAG